AGTGTATAAATCTAAAAATAATTTTATAATATAATAAATCTTACTATAGCTTTATTTATAAGCTTCTAAAAATTATAAATATACTTTTATATTTTTATAAAAAGTCTTGGCATTTTAGCTATTTTATTTTAGCTTTAAAACTATTTATTTATTATTTTTAGTAATATTATTTATATATTAAATATCTAAATAACTAGGCCTAATTAGGCAATTCCTAGTAGGCTATTTTATAGAAAATATTATATAGTATTATATATAATTTTTTTATAATTTTCTATTTATAGAATTAGCTGTCTACTCAGCCTAGTAGCGCTAGTAGCCTAAGTAGCTAAAAATTCGCCAAAATTCGCCAGTTTCGCCAGTTTCGCAGGATTTTCGCAGCTTTTTGCAGCTTTTCAGTTTGAATTTTCCTGACGTGCAAAAAAGAAGGTTAATTTTAAAGTATTTATATATTTTTTTATAGTACTAGCAGTTACTATTTACTAGCTTAAAATAGTTAAAAAGCAGCAATTTATACTAGGCAACTATTAATAGCTTGTAGCTAGTATTGCTAGCTATAATAATAATTTGCAAATTTGTATGCATAAGTTTATTTATTAATATTATATTATTTATATTTAATATAGAAATAGAAGTAGGAAATAAAAAACTTAAAAGTTAGGATAAAAATAAGTTTTAATTTATAAGATAAGTGCGCAAATATGTGCTTTACTGCCTATATATTTAGATTTTTACTACTTAAATTTTTAATTTCCTGTTTATATATAATTATAAGACGCGCAACAATACAATTATATAATAAGTAATAATATATAATTATAAGCTTTAACTGCAAGCTCTACTTTATATATTTTATAGAAACTACGTCTATTGCGCAAGCTATTACTAATTATAGAAAAGTATTAGCTATTAAAAAACTTAATATATTATACAGGTGAGTTAGTTGCCCGGTTAAGTTAGTTATAATGCTAAAATTTTACTAAAATTAGTACTATGCACAACAGTATAGCACTATAAAAAATTATAGCAGTAAATTATAATAAGCTAATTTATTTAAAAATTATTTTTACTTTTTACTTATATATTCGCGCGTTATACCTAACTTTATTATAGTATTTATAGCGCTTTTAAAAAGGCTTACCTGCTTTAGTATACGCCTGCTTTTTTACTTTTTTTTTATTACTATACGCCTTAAACTTTTTTAAAATTATTAGTTAAAAACTATTTTTTACTATAAAAGTTTTTTTTTTTTATACTTATTTTTTTTTATATAATTTTTATTATGTAGCAGCCTTATTAGCTACTTAAAACTTAGTAATTTTTTTTTATACTAATATAAATTTGTGCGCAACTATAGCTGCACTTTTTAAAATTTTTTTAAAAGCTTTAACTATTAAAGTAAAAAAACTATTTAAGTGCTTTTAAATCCTTATTTTAACTAGTATTAATTAAAACTTAAATTTTAAAGTATTGCTTAGTATTTTTAACTTTTAGGAACTGTTTTTAATAGTAAGTAGTAGTAAAGTATGCAATTAAATATTAAGTTTTAATATTACAGCTTTAAAGTTAAAAAAAACTAGACTAGCGCTTTTAAAGCTACTTAAAATATTACTTTTTATAATAGCAGTATTAAAAGCTAGTTTAAAATATAGTAAAAATTTAATTTTAGTAATATAATTAATGCTATTGCGCATTAGCTTTTTAGCTTAGCATTTATATACTTTTTTTAAAAGCGCAAAATAACTTATATTAAGTAGCTATAGTAGGTGCGATAAATACAAAAGCATATAAAAAATAATAATTTTTTATTTTTTATAGTACTATTAGAATTAGACTAATGCGTAGCTTTTATAACTATTAATAATAAATAAATAATAAGTACTAATAACTTTTTTTTTAATATGCTTGTTAAAATGCTTTAACTATTTAAAAATAAATTTATTTATTATTTAGCTATTTTTAAAAACTGTAATAACTTAATTGTAGGGTAGGCTATTTTTTTTGTACTAGGTTAAAAAGTAGTTTTTGCCTGCAAAAATAATAAAAAGTAAAATAGCCTACTTTATTATATTAATATTTTAAATTATTATTACTTATTTTTAATTACTTTGCTGCACTATTTTCAGCCGTTTTTAATAATTAGCACTTAAAATAATAGTTTTATATAATATTTAGCTTATTATAAAGCTTATTTTATTAAAATTATATATATTTTTGTTTTAAATACTATACTTAGCTTTTATATTTTTTATAAATTAGAACTAGCCTTGTATAAGCTTAGGATCTTTATATAAAATTTTTTAGTAGTTATATTTTTAAAAAGTTTTAATATTAAGCTGTAAATATTATTTAATAAATATGCTAGCCTAGTTTCTACTAATAAATAATTGCTTATATTTAGCTAGCAAAGTATTAGCTATATTGTTTACAGCAGCTAGTTAAGGCAGAAATTTTTAGTTTTTAAAGTAAAGTATATACTAGGCAATTACTTCTTTTTTTATTAAAAAAAGCTTTATTTTGTTAAGCCTAGTATTATATTATAAAAATTTTTTTTTTAGTTAATTACTAAGTATTATTTAAAAAATGTTATAGATCTGCGCAGCTTTTTATTAAGAGAAATTTACATTATATTTTAAAGCTTAAACTATAAATTATATTTAGTTTTTTTTTTAAGAAGATTGTATAATATATTATACAGGCAAGTTAGTTGCCTGGTTAAGTTAGTCACGATGCTAAAACTTTACTAAAATTAGTAGTTTTCTACTATTAAACGCGATGCCTTAACATAATAATATACAATTTTTTTAAAAAAAAAACTAAATATAGTTTATAGTTTAGGCTTTAAAACGCAACGCGAATTTTTCTTAATAAAAAGCTGCGCAGATTTATAGCGTCTCTTAAATAATACTTAGTAATTAACTAAAAGGAAAGCTTTTATAATACAATACTAGGCCTAATAAAATAAAGCTTTTTTTAATAAAAAAGGAAGTAATTACTTAGTATATACTCTACTTTAAAGACTAAGGATTTCTGCCCTAACTAGCTGCTATAAATAATATAGCTAATACTTTGCTAGCTAAATGTAGGTAACTACTTATTAGTAAGAACTAGGCTAGTACGTTTATTAAATAATATTTACAGCTTAGTACTAGGACTTTTTAAAAGTATAACTACTAGAAAGCTTTATATAAAAATCTTAAGCTTATACAAGGCTAGTTCTAATTTATAGAAAATATAAAAGCTAAGTATAGTATTTAAAATAAAAATATATATAACTTTAATAAAACAGGCTTTATAATAGGCTAAATATTATATAAAACTATTATTTTAAGTACTAACTATTAAAGACAGCTAAAGATAGTATAGCAGAGTAATTAAGAATAAATAATAGTAATTTAAAGTATTAATATAATAAAGTAGGCTATTTTATTTTTTATTATTTTTATAGGCAAGAACTACTTCTTAGCCTAGTATAAAAAAGATAGCCTATTTTATAATTAAGTTATTATAGTTTCTAAAAATAGCTAGATAATAAATAAACTTATTTTTAAGTAGTTAAAGTACTTTAACAAGCATATTAAGGGGAAAATTATTAGTACTTATTATTTATTTATTATTAATAGTTATAAGAGCTACGTATTAGTCTAATTCTAGTAGTACTATAAAGAATAAAAAATTATTACTTTTTATATGCCTTTGCATTTGTCGCACCTGCTATAGCTATTTAATATAAATTATTTTGCGCTTTTAAAAAAAGTATATAAGTGCTAAGCTAAAAAGCTAATGCATAATAGTATTAACTATATTACTAAAATTAAATTTTTACTATGTTTTAAACCGGCTTTTAATACTGCTATTATAAAGAGTAATATTTTAGGTAGCTTTAAAAGTACTAGTCTAGTTTTTTTTAACTTTAAAGCTATAATATTAAAGCTTAATATTTAGTTATATATTTTACTATTACTTACTATTAAAGACAGTCCTTAGGAGTTAAAAACACTAAGTAATATTCTAAAATTTAAGTTTTAGTTAATGCTAGTTAAGATAAAAATTTAAAAGTACTTAAATAGTTCTTTTACTTTAATAGTTAAGGCTTTTAAAAAAATTTTAAAAGGTGCAGCTATAGTTGCATATAAGCTTGTATTAGTATAGAAAAAAATTACTAAACTTTAAGCAGCTAATAAAGCTGCTATATAATAAAAATTGTATAAAAAAAAGTAAGTATAAAAAAAGAAAACTTTTATAGTAAAAGATAGTTTTTAACTAATAACTCTAAAAGAGTTTAAAGCGCGTAGTAATAAAAAAAAAGCAAAAAAGTAAGTATATACTAAGGCAGGTAAGCCCTTTTAAAGGCGCTGTAAATACTATAGTAAAGCTAAGTATAATGCGCAAATATGTAAGCAAGAAGTAAAAGTAGTTTTTAAATAAATTAGCTTATTATAATTTACTACTATAGTCTTTTATAGTGCTATACTGTTGTGTATAGTACTAATTTTAGTAAAATTTTAGTATTATAACTAACTTAACTAGGCAACTAACTTGCCTGTGTAATACGTTATTATTGTATTAAAATATTACGTTTAATAGTAGAAAATTACTAATTTTAGTAGAGTTTTAGCATTGTAACCGACTTAACTAGGCAACTAACTTGCCTGTATAATATATTACTACTAAACTAAAGCTTGCTTAAATTTTAGTTTAAGAATTTATCTGTGCTTTAATAATAGTCTATAGTTAAAATTTAAAGCCGCCTAGCAATGCTTAAATAACTTAGTTACTATTAGGGAATTTATAGTTCTATTGCTATAATTTTTAGATAATAATATATTAGGGCTGCTAATAGCAATTATTAAGGGTTTTTTAATAATCTATTTAGCTAACCTAGTATTGTATAAATTTTACTGCCTTAATACTATATTAAGGTGCTGGGTATAGTACCTAAACTGTAATTTTTATACTAATTTTTCTTATTGCGTGGTATAATCCGCTCTAGCGTCGACTTTACTTTCAATCATAGAAATGCAACAAGTCCTCCACGTTACTGCTTCACGATACTACTTCTCTCAGTCCGTTGCTCGATCATACAGCACTCGAAGAACCTCTCCACGCCCTCGAAGTCGTCTAACGTAGTCACCTTCGATACATCTGGAGAACCATCAGTATTGCTCATGATACCACACCTCGGCCAACTACTCACATTGATCCGGTCTAACGATTACCACTGCACCCGCACTTGGGTCGACACCGTATTTCTCATGCGCATGTCCATGCCCTGAGTTGTAGTGTTCATCGTCGATGTATGTCTTGTGCAGGTCTGTGGTACCATTAGTGTATGATTCCATGGCGGTCTAGAAGGAAAGAGCGAGGAATGTACCTCTGATCCCCCACTTCCCGCTGGAAGGCCAGAAGTAACCAGGTATTTGCTCTTGTTCTGTCTCTAGGAACTTGCTGTTTAGCACTAGTAGGGGCTCGATCAAGCTATCGATGTCATCCGTCGCTGGTGTGAATCGCTGGACGATGACTTCTAGATAATCAGCTAGCTATCCCAGGTCAGCAGATGTATCCAAAGTTTCAGAAATCGAAGGCATAGGCGTTCTTACCTCGTTGAGTCTATCTCGGTGCAGCACCTCGTTGATGTCACCAGCGAACACTACAACCCTCCATCTTCCATTGCTCTGAAGAACGCGCTGGAGCTGTACCGCCTTGCAGTCGCAGAACCGTATGACCTGCGCAGAAGGGAAGCGCATGCCGACCGTGATGCCTGTGGCGACCTGTGGTGTGCTTTCTGCCACACTGGTCACTTCGGAGGCTCCATACCTCGCTGTGAACCCCGCCATATACCGTCCACTCTTGACAAAGTAATCCGCAAACTCCCCCGGATGTTCCTCCTTCCTACTAAACATTTTTGCCAGCTCTTTGTCAAACGAAATCAGATCCGCAGCTGTCTTGCTGCGCTCCGAGACGTACGTAGTAAGGAGTGAAGGAGGAGACAAGCCGCGTAATACGGATCCGAGTTTCCAGCCCAAATTGTACCCATCCTGTAGACTGCAATTCATACCTTGACCCGCTTTTGGGCTATGGGTGTGACATGCATCACCCGTCAGAAACACACGAGAGTCTTTCTCGAACTTCTCTGCAAGGCGCTGCCCAATCGAGTACGCCGACCACCAGAAAACACCCGCAAACTCCATTGCATAAGGGGAAAAGATCGCCCTTGCTTGCGCTTGCAAGTCCTCCAGTGTAACTTCTTTCGGATGAACGCCCTGGGGAAGTTGGATGTAGAGCCTTACGAGATGACCGCCTTCTCGCGGGATGATGAGCAGGTTGCCTACGGAGGAGTGGATAGTGCATTTGCGCCTGATGTCGGGAAAGGTGGTGAGCGGGTAGATGTCCATTACGCCCCAGACGGTGTCACTCGTGTCGCCGATCATGCGGTAGTTTAGAGAGCGTCGGATGGTGGAGTGTGCACCGTCGCAACCCTACAGTAAATAATTACTACACCGTCTTTGTATAGTTATAGTGAAGATGAGGGGCCGAATGAAGTGGACGTACCAAAACATATTTCGCCTCCCAAGTCTCTTCCTCACCGTCCTTTTCGGCTGTTACTCTCACGCAATGTGCATTTGGATCATCTTTGTTCGTTTCATCGATCTCCAACCCCTTGACCGTCCAGCCATACTCAATACCATTTGCCTTGCCTTCTTCCCACTTCCCTTTCTCTTTTAGAATAGTCTCCATCTTGCCTAACATGAGTCCGTTCATCCGTGCTTGATTCAGGATTACATGTGGTAAGTGACTCAGGCCTTTCTCAGTATCAATAGCTCTACTCTTTCGTTTGATGCCTCTCTTCTCTTGCCCGTCACCGTCTTCATCAATGCCCCAGAAACACACTTCTAGAATGTGATACGCTTCCCTGATGAGTTCTTCGCTTAGCCCGAAGGATTCGTAAATTTCCACTGTCCGACATTGCACGCCGTCTGCTTGCCCTATCTCCAAAGGACCGGATCGGCATTCTAGAATCGTGAAGGGAATGTCGTAAATCGCTAACCAGGTCGCTGCAAAGATGCCGGCGCTGCCGGATCCGGCTATTAGGACATCTGTTTTCGGCATTTGTTTATGAGATGGTAATACTGTATATGTTGCTAAGAGGATTTTCAAAGCGCCTGCGCCCTAGTTGAGCTATCGCTGGTTTCTGTGAAAGTACTTTGAGTGCGGAGATGTTTGTGATTACATTGATTCGTATATGTTGCTAGGCTGACGAGGGTGCGACCTCGGGCAGAATGAAAGCGAAGACGACTCGAAAGTGGGAAGTGTCTTGCAGGGTATACTGCAGATTAATCTTTGAGAAAAGTCCAACCTGGGAAGCTGGAATCTATATATACAGTAAAATGTATGATACGCATGTATTGGGCGGTGCCGAAAGCAAGCTCCGAAAGCTGCGGCAATGCGGGGAGCAGTGTAACCAGTCCACTAGCGCAACTACAAAGTCCGGAGAGAAAGGTAATAAAACATGAATCCGACCAGCCAAATGAAATTGCTAAGTATTCTGCATGCATACTATTGACAATATCCCGAGGATGCTCGGACAAATCTAGGGAGTGGGCTCTTGGCATCGGATACTAGCGACACGGATGGTGTATGCGGCATGCGACTCGGTTTGGTCTGTGAGTACAAGACAAACGGGTTTAAAGCCCTAAGTCCGTCGAGAAAGAACTGAAAGTGTGGAACACAACCTGGCTTATTGTGTCGATGTTGATTGTTATATCTTTGGGAGCTCGCAAATCTGAGCATGTACAAGCCAATAGCGCCAACAGGACGCGTCGTACTAGATGTGACTATATCCACTCGCTTAATCGAACATGATCTTCTTGCCCTTCAGTAATGTTCCGCCTAGCAGCTTGCCGACTGCATATCCAATATAAGCTCCCGTAACAATAGTGACTGGCCACTTCTGCCATTCGCGGTCCCTACTAGTCATTAGCACACATGCCTGTATCAATGGAGAAAACCCATCACTCGCAAGCAGGGGTACTAGATTACTTACCAGTCCAGCGGTATAGGCACCGCGCCCAGCCATGCCCCTACTACGGTTCCAATCAACCCTCCATAGACCTCATCGATCGGCAACAGCAGCGCAACCACCTGTCTCCACGTCTCACCATTCACACCGTGTACATATACGAGCGGGAGCGTGCTGAGTAAAGCGACGTGCGCGCCGCAGAGCAGCGTGTGCGGATGATGCGTGGTAACGGGCGCGCCAAAGAGGACGAGGATCGCTGTGAGGAGGGGTGTTGCTGCGAGCGCGGTGAGGAGGAGGGACAAGAAAGCCGGCTGTTATAACAAAAATCACGTTAGCTCTAATACAAGAGGAGCACGGCCAGATAGCATGCAGGTGTGAGCTTTGCGAGCAGGGTGCGCGACGTACAACAATTTTCCCGTTTAAGCCATTCTCCAACTTGCTCGGTACTCTGCTTCTTTTCTCTCCTGGCTTCTGCTTCCTAATCGTCGGAGTGCCACCCGTTGGCGGTAAACATACTGCTACGTATGCTATCTGTAGTATGGCAAGCGGGGCGAGGGTGTTGAGTAGCGTCGAGGCAGGGTCGGCGACGAGTGAGCTGAAACTGAACGCGTAGAGCGAGAGCACAAGAACTGGGTGTATATGTGTATATAGACGTGCTGCGTCATTATTCAGAGGCTCAACTGGTGGCGCCGTCGAGGGCGGGGTTTTGGAGGTCGCGTTTGCGTTGATGATGGTGGCCATGGTGCAGATAGAGCGCAAAGCGTAACGCTACGGGAGGGGACGTCGTATTCAAATATGTCAATTAAGAAAAGAGCTGAAGCAGGTGAGCTTCAAAAGGAGTGTAGATGGCACCTGGCCGTTGGGATGCTGTTGTCGCGATTGTTGATGTGGAGGTCGCGGAGCGCAAAGTTTCGAAGCTGGTGTCCGTGCAGCTCGATGATTGGTGCCGAGGATCGACAGAACTTTGAGCACCTTAAAGAATCTCAATAACGCTATGTTTTGGAACTACTGGAGCCAGATTGATAGCCTGCATTCATTCATTCATGTGAAAATGTGAATATCACTTTTTGTAACCATTGCTGTCCCGCCGTTCACTAGCCGCAAGATGATCATGAACCGTAATCACTGCTTCTGCTCTTCCTTCTTAGGCACCAGATTCCGCAGTGACAGGTCATATACAACGTCCTCAACATCCTTGACTCTGTACTTCAGCCCATCGCTGCGGCGGCGCAAGCTGTCGTTCTTGAGATTGAGAATCTGGAAGCCCGCATGCAAATCCTTGACGAATTGGTTGATGAGCAGCGGTCGCTCGTAGTCGCCCAGCGTGACGGCATTGCGTGCAAGTCGTGTCTGTCATAGCGGTCAGTAGTTAGGAGGCAGGTAGAGGGTAGGGGTGACGTACCAGTTCTTCGACAAGCGTGATGAGGGACTGGAGGTACTCTTCGAGCGAGAGGTGGAACTCATCGCGGTCTTTGAGATTGACTGGGACTGCTCTATGTTCAGTGTTGTGCAAATAGTGTTGCATAAGAAGCTCACTGTTCAGGATTTCACCGAGTTCTTCGATGGTCAGAAGCCGTCCGCATTGAACGTTACCACCATCGTACTTGTAGCCACCTAGCCAGCCCCAGAATAGCACGCTCTCTGCCTATTAACGTGTAAGTGCTACGAGGAGGTGTGAGTGTGGGAAGTGAGACATACAGCTCCCTGCATCTGGCGGCTCCACATATTGTTAAACTTGTAGTATGGCATCTTTGACGCAGCTTGCGAGAGCTTGGAGACTGTGTCTATGACATTCTTGATTGGCTCTTCTGCGGCTTTCAGAACTTCGGAAACTGCGTTGTTTATGAGCGGTCACGTTGTTTTCAGTGCATGCGCTGCTGCAACTTACGGTCTGCGACAGGTGTCGACTGCGCTCTTGATAGCACGAAAGAGACATTGCGGTCTGCAGAAGGTCAAAAAAGCCCCCCATGATGATATTACTGACTGACTGTGCTTCTCGAGGGCCTGGATGATGTCTCGTAGCTCCTGTCGCGTTGTGAGTGCGCTATCACGTGAAGCTCGCAGGGCTGCCACTCACATCTCGGACGGCGGTATCTTCGTCAATGCGAGCCTGTAGATCTTGGAAGATGGTCGAATTGACCATGCCAGCTTGTGATGCCATGGTTGGGACGTGTCGTGAGCGTTAGGCTGTGTGCAGAGGGTGGTAGGAGGTCAGGTCGATTTTGTTTGTAGTAGTAAACACAAGCAGCAAAAATTCAACCTCGCTCACCGCACGACGTCACATTCTGCGGCTTCAAGCGAGTGACAGGCGTAATACCAGGTGTTCATTCATTTCTCTCTACACGATCCAAAGATAGGTGGTCACTACGTCGTAATGCCGAGCTCATTCTCAGCGTGGGTAGTACGCAAATAAGGCTCCACTTGACAGCATGTAGCACAAACCGGCACTGGCTTCTGTCTTGGAATATGCACACCGCGTAGAACATGACAGTGACAATCACAACTTCTTCCTCAAGCGACTGGCAAGCCAGAAGTCTCAATGAAAAAGATCGCGTACATCGGAGGTAGTGCAAGACCGACGACACTGTGCCAATGAGTATGAGCAAGCCCAGTGACCCATTAGCTGGCTTCAAAAAGTGGGATAATCTTAAATAACCTCGTGAGGTTGTTTTAGAGATTAAACTAAAAAGAACAGATACTACACTTGATCTAAGCCAAAAGGCAAAGCTGACAAACGCGTTAGCAAAGGTTAAGAAAAGTCGGAAATCTGCAATCCGACAGTAGGGTTGGGGTAGTCAAAACTTACAGAGCTGCAGAGTGCAATGGGGACGGGGGCGGGCGAGGTTTTATGAGCGAAGAATCCTTGGCGCACTAGCGGCTGACTAATCGCTTAGCACTCGGCTGTCGGCGGAACCCCGGCATTCCCGACTCAACTGGCCGGTATGCTTCGATGATTGCAAGACATCACAGCCGTCTCGTCGTGTAGTATTTTCCGAGAGATGAAAGATTGCCTGCCTTGGCTCTCTATCTGTAAGTCATGATACTTACCCCTACTACCGACTTTCAGCGGCCTCCAACTCCATCATTATAAAGATCATTTAGGTTGCATGTAGCATGATTACTCCCATTCCTGAAGCTGGGTCATCATCACTGGGTTTACAAGTATGTCACCAATAGTAATGATACATCATCTCAGCTCCGCCGTTCGAGGGAATGGTCTTTGATCCACACAGTGACAATTTACATTATCACGAAGCTATCTAGGCTGCGTTATGCGCCGTTCCTCTTTTCCATTCCTCATCCTGCAAGTACGGCAACCCTCTCGTCTCGCGCCCAGTAATGTGTCAATGAACACGTCACTTCTTCTTCGCAGCGAGCATTGGTGCACCGTTTGTGTTCCTCAGACGGATCTTCAACTTTACGACCCGGCGATTCTTCGTTCCTGCTCCCGCTCGAGCCCGTGTTGTTTCATTCACTTTACTTCCTGGGTCCAGTTCGCTCAACTCATCGGAGGCCCCCATGCGCACCGCTGCTGCATGCTCGCGCGCCTGGAACTCGTGCCACAGAAATCGAGCTTCCTCGCAGAACCAGTGGAAACTCTGGACAAAGCCCGCCTCCTGGGTTGTGTTGTATTGGCGTCCCTCGAGCAGCGTGCTCTCACCGTATCGAAGTCGTGTCGCCCAGCTGTCGCCATCCCATTTGATTCGCATATTCAGATTTGGAATGCTAATCTCGTCGTTAGGCTGGTCCAGGTCCTCGCGGCAGTTCTCGTTCTCTAGAGACTCGGGAGTCGTGGCGCCGTTCGACAGTTGAAACCCAACTACTTTCGCTTGCTGCAGGCGCGGTTTGATCGCATAGAGAAAGATCGAGCTGCGGAGCAGGAAGCAGAGGTCGTCTGTATCTGTCAGTTTGGGTACAAGGCCCAACAGGGAGAACTTACCAAGAAGCTGGCCCTCATTGTACCGTGGTAGGTTGTTTGGGAGTTCCTTGAGGGTGATACGGAGATGCTTTCGGAGCTTCATCCTATCGACAGTTTTCGGCGAGAACGAAGAGGTCATATTCCTTGATGTGTTTTTCAGATTTCTGGCTGTAGAGTCGAGTGCTGTGAATACACGTAGTCTGTGTAGTCTTTTGGCTGAGCTTTGTAGAGTGAAATTGCCGATTACATTCAGGAAAGTCGAGGCTTCGAGGGCATCAATACAAACGAGGCGAAGTATTTCACTTACCTTTAGTGGAGTCGCAAGCGGGCTCACTTCGCTTGGCCTTCCGCAAATGAAGGCGTAGCCTCATGCCATTATACCCGTTGCTGTTTTGGGCAAAAGGTTCGACAGTTTCCACAAAATCTCCCTTATCGTGGAGTATTTATCTTACTTTGTTGCTCTAAAGACAAACTTTGCGTCTGCGTCCGACCATCTGCATTCTTCGCTATAGCAAGCGTCAAGCAAGAGTATATGCCTGCGACCCATAATCACTGATAATGTGCTTATAATCCAAGCTTTACAAGGATACACGTGGGCATCAGACATTACTTCGAGAACCTTCAAGCATTTGGGTCTACGATTAAAATTGTAGACATCTGTACCCAACCAAGCGCCAACACAATGCCATGTCTATTGACTCCCAGCTCTTTCTTCTCTTTCCCACGCGTTATACCTCGGTTAAAGCACTCACACTCTGAAAACACCCTTCACTACCGCCTTCGTAGAACCTTCTTCCCTCTTCATGAGCACAAGCTCTCACATTGAGCCGCAGCACATGCCCCTCGAGCGTGACGTATCCTGCGCTACTCACTTCCAAGACACACCACTCGTAGAAGCAAATATCTAACATGGTTTTTCGCTCAAGCTGTCGAAGTCGGTACGTTAAATGTCTGGAATCTTTTACCAGGAGATCATTGATAATGGTAGAGGATGTCCAAAACCCCTACGCTCTGGTTGAGCTATCGCTGTTCTGTAGAGTTATACTTTGAGTGCGCTAAGGCCCTCTTCATTGTCATCAACTCAAATATGTAGCCATCAGTCCCGGTACGAATAGAGCTTCGAATTTACCTAGGCTTTGCTATCTGTACTACTGGGATAACTAGCCAATGTTTGGCGCTCCTACGGTTACTAAGTGTAGATATTGCCATTTGCAGCTACCCTCAGCACTCAATTCAAAAATAATATCTCTGATGGCAATAAAGGTAATCATAATGCGTAGTGATAGTGTGAGGATTAGAAGTTGGCAAAAGATAGACCTGCTAAGGTGAATTCTGTTATATGACCCAAAAGCTCCCTTGTTTCCGTCTTCACCTTATCTATCTCACCCCATTTCTCTCTACTACTAGCCCTTACTCAATATTGCCGGACCTGACCCGCCCGACTGTCAGTAGGAAGCGTGGCAACCCATTCGCGCACCGCCTGCTGGTCGAAACCGTCACGGAGCATCTCCATCAGCTCCTCATCGTGCAGCGGGTCTTTACCCTCCTTCTCCCGCAACTCACCCTTTAGCAAGATCTGGACGTCCCCCATACCCGGATTTACAGTCAGTGCCATGTAGTGCCATATACCCTCATGGCCCACAGACATGAAGATATCTGAAAGCTTTGAAAGACCATGAGGGCCAAGTCCACCACGCTGGCCGTATTCGATCAAGATAAAGGTGAGGCGTTCTGTTGAGTATTTGTCAGCGATGAACAATATTGAAAAATATATCTAGACTTACTGGCGAGTTCCAACACCGCGGTTGGAGTGGACCATCTGGGTAGCTTATCCTGGAGGAGGTACTGGATGCGTTCGATAATCATTTCTCGAGTTATGCTATCAGGAGACAAGGATTGCTGAGTGAGTACCGACTGCGAAGCCAGGCGTGGCGTATAGGCCGTAGGCGGAGTGGGTAGCTGCGGCGAATGATGTAATGATGCAGCAGCTCCAAGTCGAGCAGTGGGAACTGCTGTAGAAGCGGGTGGCGTCGTGTGTCCGGTAGGCGGTGTCGAGAAAGAAGCAGGTGCAGCAGTCGTCGCGGGGACGGTCTCGGCTTGAAACTTGCGAAGTAGCGTATAGGCTGAATTGGGATTCTCCCCGGGGTGAGCAGGCTGCTTGGAGTTGGGAAGATGAGCCATGGTGGATTTTCTAGAAGCTGAAAACTGTGTGTAAGGAAAAGCTGAGTAGTGGAGAAGTTGTAGGCTGCGATCTTGGTGATAGATAGCGGTTATCTTGCAGTTGAGGGAAGTCTATAACTGAAGTAGGGGTGAAGGGTTATAAGCTGTTGTGGAAACATAATCACTCGGACTTGGACGTGGAAGTGGAGCCAACAGTGCATTCACCTAGAGTCTCGAGAGTGAAAGTGCTAGTCGAACCATGGGAGGATCATGATGTTGGTAATTAGATCTCTGCCACGGTGCGCGTTAGAAGAAGATGGCCTCCATAAGGAAGTGAAACCAGACATATAAGTCCTGTGGCTATCTTGACTTTCCTTCACCTGACCGTACCTAGTCTTGAGTACTATCTCGCCGATCGACTCCATTGCTTCAGTCAAATTGTTGTTGCTGAGATAATACCTCGAACAGTACTGGCGATGGCAACCATTTAGTCTCGTTGAACAGCTTGGGCAAAGTGCAGTTGATGTGCGAGCGAGCGATTGACGATCTTGGATTATAGACATCCCATGGTGTGGAGACGTTGGTAAGGCTGTGTGACAAAATTAGATTTGCAGGGACCCGGGCCCTCTAGCGCAGCTTGGCGACCCCCGTCGCTCCCTGAAACCAGCCGGACAAGATCCATCATCACTCCCTAACAACCGCCTCCACAGCTTTTCACACTCACGTCGCACCCCACCCGCGCCCTCCGTCGCCCCGGCGTACATTCACTCGCTACCTGCTTCCGCTCTTTCCTCACGCGCTGGGACACACCCGCTCCGCGCCATCCTTTGTTGCGTTCGCTTTCGCCCTGTATACACAGCCTCACCACTGCTGTAACCCGAGCGACGACACGATACATTCCACATAACCAGCGACCATGGGCTTCGGCGACTTTCAGACGCTATGCACCAAGGCTGCGATACCACTGTGCGCTCTTATTGGACACCAGGACATCAATGATGGCGTTGGCATACAAACAAAGTGCTATTCGAGGACCGTTGAGATCGCAAACACACTGATATTCCAAGTGGCCAACGACGCTATGCACATTTTGGCCCTGATCATGACGGTGATCATGATCATTCACGTGCGCTCCAAGTTCACCGCTGTCGGTACGTTGCGCGCACACAGAGGAGGCCGCAATGAGACTTTTGACTAACGTACAACAGGCCGGAAAGAAATCACTTCGTTCTTCTATGTTTACATGCTCTTGACCGTTGTATCACTCGTTCTCGATGCCGGCGTCACGGCCCCCGGTTCCGCCGCATACCCATACTTCGCCGCCGCCCAAAATGGCCTCGTCTCCGCCCTCTGTACCTGCCTGTTGATCAACGGCTTTGTCGGCTTTCAACTGTATGAGGATGGAACAACTCTCTCTGTCTGGCTGCTGCGACTCTGCTCTGTCAGCATGTTCATCGTTGGCGGCGCCGTCTCCCTCCTTACCTTCAAGGGTTGGGCTGGCCTGGATCCCAAGAACCCAGTAGGAATATTTGTCGTTACATACATTGTCAACGCCATATTTCTCGCTATCTACATCGTCTGCCAGCTGATCCTCGTTATCGGCACACTGGAGGACCGCTGGCCAATGGGCGACATCGCATTCGGCATTTTCTTCTTCGTCATCGGCCAGGTTATTCTCTACGTCTTCAGCGATACGCTCTGCGACAAGGTGCAGCATTATCTGGACGGCCTATTCTTCGCTACCATTTGTAATCTTCTTGCGGTCATGATGGTATACAAGGTTCGTTGCCCCACAAAATTCTCAACGGTACCAAGCCTGCTAATCGATCTAAAAATAGTACTGGGATTCCATCACTCGCGAAGATCTCGAATTTTCAGTCGGCGTCAAGCAGAACAATTGGGAAGTCAAGGAACTTCTGCCCGACGAGGACAAGCGTGGTACCGTCTACCAAGATTCTGAATACACTCCGTCGGTGTACCAGCAACCGTACAACACGCGCCACTCTCACTACTCCGCCGTTGGCCATTGATCTTACCACTCTTGCGTTTACAAATTTCACATCTGCATATACTTTTTCAACGGCATTAGGCGGAGTTTGTGGCGCCCGGTGTTTTCGTGTAAGACTTGTAATCAACGTGTAAGAGGACGCGGCTCGTTGCTTGGGTATCACCTGTTGTCATGGCTGGAATATAGGGGGACGTACATGGATCGAGAAGCACTAGTAATGTGCTCCTCGAACCTTTCTATGATAAAATTCTTATGAAATCTCTAGCGCCCATATAGTAATATTAAATGTTGCCAACGTCCTTCATTGTCGTCACTCGCGAGTTGGCCTTTAATCTTTGCTTCTTTATCTAGCAGAATACGAGGAGTAACCCCGCTTTGCATATCTCTTTCGGTGTAGACTTGTTATGTGCCTCCAAAAATCATGACATATTACAGGTGTGCCTCGTAACGAACACGTAGGGAAGGATTGAGGATGCTTTAAATTCAGAACATCATATCTCACTACAAATGCTCTACTCAAAGGAATATATACCCTGCTCACTAACCACCGCCACGTCTTAGCCGGCAGCCGGCTACTCATGGTACTTGTGTACCTCGTGTCGGGTCACGAAATCCTGTTGCTGCTCCAGGGCTGTCGGGGCCGGCGCCGATGCGACTAAACTCCACCGGCATGTCTCAATTGGGCAATCCCGGCGCAAACTCACGAGCATACAGAACAACAAGGAACTCACTTGCCTAAAAACAGTATCCCCAAGCTACGGCTTTTTCTTGACTTTGTGCCGGGCTAAGATGTGCGCCCGCTCACAGGCTAAAACGCGTGGCTGCATGGTCGAACTTTGAAAGAGGGGCGACATGAGCGGGGTCCGCGGCATCATATATGATGGGGGTGGGGGAGCTCTTAAAAGGATGGCACCCGCCCAATCTCACGGTAAGATGTGTTTCGAAGTTCTGTATCCTATTTTATATCATTCTAGCGCTGTATAAGCATTAGTCGGACTTGTCAATACATTGCGTAAGTACATGCAATCTCAGGCCTCACGCGACAAGCATAGGAGACGTCATGCGCTTTATCCAGACCTTCACGCTATGTCATTAACATTTTGCAGATAATTGAAAAGAAGAGGCACTCAACATCATCATCCTGCAGAGCTAGAGCAAGACAGTTACCTCCATCCACCGGACTATCACATATCAACGCCCTCTAAGATGTCACGGAAACATTTCTTCCCTAACCCCGAAGGGGTAGTGGTCCACATGCTCCAATCGCTTGTAACGCGAAATCAACACATGGCACTCGACGAAGCTAATCGCGTCGTCTACAACCTCTCGCACCCGCCGGACCAGGTCACCATCGTCTCCGGCGGCGGCTCCGGTCATGAGCCCGCCTGGTCAGGTTTTGTCGGCGATGGCATGTTATCCGCTGCTGTGTGCGGTGATATTTTTGCGTCCCCATCGACTAAGCAGATCATGGCTGGGATAAGAAACGTGCCATCGAACGAGGGGGTTATACTTTGTATCACGAATTACACAGGAGACATGCTGCATTTTGGGCTGGCGAGGGAAAAAGGGCAAGCTCTAGGATACAAGGTTGATGTTGTTTGTATGGCTGAGGATGCAGCGCTAGGGAGAGAAAAGAGTGGGAAGGTAGGACGGAGAGGGTTGGCAGGGAATCTGCTCGGTACGTCTAGGTCGACACTGTACTCTCGTCCGAATACGAGATCCTGTAGCGCATTGCTAACTTAACCAGTCATCAAGCTCATCGGCGCTGCATCACAAAAGGGCTGGGCTTTTGAGCGATGTAGAAAGATTGGAGAGTTAGGCAACTCAGAGTTGGTGACTATCGGAACGAGCCTGGATCACTGCCATGTTCCTGGACGAGAAGCGTTCGAATCAGTGGCAGATGATGCTTGTGTGCTGGGAATGGGCATTCACAACGAACCAGTATGGTCTCCTCCATTGCTGTACTGGCAGAAGTAGCTATACTAACGTATGCAGGGCCTGAGAACAATATCACCCATACCAAGCCCAGAAGACATTATCAAGGAGATGTTGAGATATCTATTAGACCCGAGCGATTCCGACCGCGCTTTCGTTACTTTCTCGCCTTCAGATAACGTCGTAATGCTCGTCAACAACTTTGGCGGGCTGTCCAATCTCGAATTCGATGGCATGGTGAACATCGCCCTACAAGTGCTGAAGCGCGATTGGAAAATTGTGCCAACGAGGATCTACGCCGGCATATTGGAAACATCCTTGAACGGCCAAGGTTTCTCGATCACGTTGGGAAATATGTCTGGCATGGCGAAAGCTATGGAACTGAAGGATGATGAGGTTATTGAATTGCTAGATGCCCCTACTAATGCGCCCGCGTGGCCGAAGAATGGATATCGACCTGTCAACGTGAGCAAGGAATCAGAAGAGTTGAGGAACAAGGCAAATGCCGCTGCACAGGACCAGAGCGGGCTGCAAAAGGGTCCAGCAACACCATCTTCACTCATTCCGGCATTAAGAAAAGCCTGTAATGCCGGTCTCGACGCTGAACCCAAGATCACGCAGTACGATCTACAGATGGGCGACGGCGACTGCGGGGAAGCCGTGGCCGGCGTTTGCAAATCCATCCTTGCAAACATCGATGCCGTAGAGCCCAATCCACCACCCATTCTCGCGCTACTGGAAAGCATCGGCGAGAACGTCGAAGATGTAGGCGGCTCCCTCGGCGCTATCCTCTCCATCCTCGTCACCGCCTTCACCAACGCGCTCGCCAACGAAACTCTGAGATCGAACAAAAAGCTGGATATTGCGTCGATATCGAGCGCCGCATCCACTGCCCTGGACAACCTGAAGAATTACACTTCTGCCCGCGAAGGCGATAGAACGGTCATGGATGTTCTTATCCCGTTCATCAATACGCTTACTGAGACTAAGGATTTTGGGAAGAGTGTAAGTGTGGCGGAACAGACTGCGGATGCGACGAAGGATATGAAAGCGAAGTTTGGGAGAGCCACTTATGTTGGTGACGACGATAAAGAAAGGAGTCGGATTCCGGATCCGGGCGCGTATGCTGCGGCAGTTTGGTTGCGGGGACTCGAGAGTGGGTTTAGCGGGTCTTGAGATGTGTGCAAGCATGATGGGGTACATACAAATGGCGATTATAAGGAGAAGATGGTATTGAACATACAGCGTTTTAGCCGTCTGCTTATAACATTTATATCATAGCTCATAGTACCTACCGCCACTCACCTGTCTGACCGCAATCTTCGCATTACCTCCCGCAGAGCGCAGAGCGATCAGTCTACCAATGAATCAATCTAGTCCTTTTCACTAAGCGCCACGTGCCAAATCAAATTGCACATTTGATATTTTATTTTCGCGGTCAGCCCATAACCGAGATTGTTCTGAGCCGCCATTCGGTGTCGTAAGATGACACTCTCCATGATTCCGTGGTATAAATCAATCATCAAAGTCATCCTCCTTCTTTTCCAGAGCTTCCTCAAGTCTGAGACTGTACCAGTCTGGTAAGGGCGGATCAGTGCCGAAATCCTTCGGTTCATGCACTCGCCACTTTCTCTCCCAGTCATCCATCGTCCAGTTGCGGCCCATTTGCACTAAGCCATGTATATCCCAAGTATCGCCCAATTCGAAGTTGCATTGTACGATAGAGTGGCCATAGACGATGTCATGTATCGCTTCAGGAAATCCGCGCATAATGAAGCTCTGGGTCCTCCTCATCCGGAACCAGTCCGGTGGATTTGTCTTCTCATACCAACACTTTTCGAAAGCAGCTTGCCACGCGGCATCCCTTTGTACAATTTCGAAGACCTGCGCGCTCTTGTCAGGTGTAGGCTGCCCATCTAGGATGAGCGTAAATGACTCCGGCGGCATACCAAGACGGCCGAGTGCCAGCGCCTCCATGATCCATGGTGCAATACACCGGCCCGTCACATCGGCAGATACTAATCGATCCATTTGGTCCTCCACCCTATAGCAGGCATTACCTCTATGTGCAACAACGCGAACTGGAGAAGAGCCTGCAGGGAGGACGTTCCTCCACAGGTTCACCCATCGTTCCACGCGAAGTAAAGGGTTCTCCTGACATAAAGGAATCAAGCCTTGCGCATGGCATTCAGGCCAAGCAACCGACACTCGATCTTCTTCCAAGACTACTCGGCGGATCTGCCGTCGAGACTTGACAGGCAGCGAACCGAGGAATTGAATTGCTACGGATGCCGCAGAGAATCTGTATTTTTCTCGCTTCCAGCATTCGTGACTGCGTGGAGGGTTCTGGGGATCCTGGTCCAAGATGCGACAGATGTTAGATATGTCCCTGTCCAGTGGTATTTTCCAGGGCGAGTCGTCCAGGGAAAGTAGTTCAGAAAGACGGCCGTGTAGCCATCCCACAGGGACATCATCAGAGACCGCCTCGTGGAAATCCGGGTGATCCGAGACAAGATCTAGAGTCGCACTATGGAACTGGCGACAGAGAGACGGTACTTCGCCCCAGCTATAATCTCTGAAAAGGCGGACCGCTCCTACGTTCCGGAGGCGGTGGACTATAGGTAGAAACTGTGGGTACACCCTGGCTAACTTGGAAACGGTCTCGTCATCGATACAGGGATGTATTGCGTTAACTAGACAGGATTTAGTACACTCGATAGTTACAAGAAGATCCCGGAAGCGGCCTGCTCTGCTGCGGAGCGCATCGTCGTACGCTGTGGAGAAGTGGATTGAATTGAGCGAGAGTGCAAGGCCCTGCATCTCGGCGGCCGCTTGTGTGCAAGTGTATGCAAGGGCTAAATCGACGCGCCCTTTGTTAGCCGCGACTAGCTGGCCTGTTTCATGATTATAGAAGTACCCCTCTTCTGTCGTGAGATAGTATTCGTAGATCATGTCACGCAGCTCTCGTGGCAGCGTAAAGAATCGAAATTGTGGCTGCATCTTCAAACCGGGCAGCACTATTATTTCGAATGTGAGGCGGTTGTGATCTGATCTGAGCTTCTGTGGCAGAAATCAGGAGAGACCAGGCAACAAGACGTGTAACAAGTAAATCGCAACGGCGATAGAAAGAATAACTGGAAGGACTTTATACTGAATAGCGCTGGCAGGCAGCAACCCCGCCCACGTGACTTGAAAAATTGGTACTAGCTTATTAAACATCCCCTAAGACATCGCTGTTACGTGGCTGGACTTAGTTCCATGGTTCTGCGACCAGACTTTTGCGTTGTGGTACTGTACCGTTTATTCTGTTCCAACACCGCTTTTACGATTTGTAGAGAGCTCTCCGAACTTTACAACTTCTTATTCTCTCCCCCCCCCCCCCTTAAGATGGTTCTATTGTACGCACTTACAAGTCACAGCGACGGAAGAGATAATTGGGGTATCATTTTTTATTTCTATGATTGAAAGTAAAGTCGACGCTAGAGCGGATTATACCACGCAGTAGGAGAAATCAGTATAAAAATCACAGTTCAGGTGCTATACCCAGCACCTTAACACAGTATTAAGGCAGTAAAGTTTACACAATACCAGGTCAGCTGAATAGATCATCGAGAGACCCTCGACGATCGCCATCAGCAGCCCTGATGCGTCATCATCTGAAAATTGTAGCAACGGAACTACGTCAAAGTTATAACTATCCGTCTGCAGGCGAGACAAGGGATACTTACCCATAGATTCCCCAACGGTGACTGAGTTGTTCGGGCATTGCCAGGCTGTGGTTGTCAGCAGCTGCAGGATCGAACCGTGGACGAGCTCGGGAATTCCTACCGGCTTTGAGTTTCTATAAGAATGTTAGTAAACATGAACAACAGGACAAGGGCTCAAGTGCTCTTACCAACCGTGGACTGTTGTCAAAGCACGGATGAATCCTGTACGAAGATTAGAAAATCTAGAGTAATCCACGGCAATGGGAGTTATCTATTTACCTCGGACCGAGATTTGGGCGAGCTTTGGTTCGGTGGTGAGCTTCTGGGATACGTTAAGAATGCTGAGTGATACACGAATTTTTAGGGTTGCATACGCGCCTCAACAGCCGATGCTCTCCCACGATTAGTAATAGCTTCTATACTTGTTAGTTGGGACCAAGAATAAAATCAAAGAGAGGCCTACGCGCGATGGACGTGGTCTCCACAGAGCACGCGGGGTAGCTGAATAATGTTAGATGTGGCGAAAATTCAGAAATCAGGATACTTACAGCTTGCGGTCAAGGCTCATGATCATGTATCGTCGCTCGTTGTATGGTCGTATCGTCGCGCGTCCTATGGTCGTATGTGGGCTGGCTTGATGTCAGCATTCGTCCAGAATTGGTACAAGGGAGTTAGGATCGCTTACCGGGAGGTTGAAAGTTCGGGTGGTAAGGGTCTGAACGCGTAGGCAGCAAAGCACTAATGGCTTTAGTGTGCGAAGAGCGGTAGAGAGTTCCAGAGATTCTTACCACATTTGCGCGCTCATCCCATAAATTGAGACCTGTCCCCATCCTGACTTTCAGAAGGTAGGTCAGCAAAGCCAACGCAGGCAAGAGTTATAACAGCATACCTTTCAAGTCTCCTATCTCCCACCTCCATTTCCATGTCGAATACGAACAATATGACGCCAACGAACGAACTCGTGCATGCTATAAGAAGGTCCGTGTTAGAGAGTAGTATGGGAATGTTTAGGGAGATAATTACCAGGCCCGCGAGTCGCTATCATGGCTAGCGATACCAGCCGCAAGCCATCGATGGTTGCCTGGTACGAGTCGCTCTATGAATTGATTAATTAGAGC